TTACCTGGCTCGGAGAGGACAAGGTCAGGGCTGGGAGATGCAGCGGGGAGATGCACCCTTCATGGTGACCATCCTCCGCTCCTGCAGCTGGGGAGTTGGTGGGAGTCCGAGCCCAAAAGGCATGGCTCATACACAGGGGAGAGGCCGTGCTGACAAAAAATTCACTGTGAGGACCGTCAAGCGTTGAGACCCAGGGAGACCACAGCGTCCCTGGAGGTTTTTGAGGTTTGGTTCAAGCCCTAGGCAACCTGATGTGAAGCTATTGCTGACCCTGCTGCTCCTGATGGGGCTTGGAGTAGAGTCATTGCAGGTCCTGTCCAACCTGAACGGTCCCTAGGTGCCTCTACAGCATTCAGATCTTGTAGATCGGTCTCCTCTCTTCCCCAAGGCAGCCCTTATGTCCCCAAGCTGCGGTTCCTGAGCCATGAGCATGTCTGTGCTTCTGTCCTTCCTGCCCTGCGGCCATTCCCACCATTCCTGGTCCTGCAGCCCTCTTCGCTTGTGTCTGTTGTCTCATTCTGAAGGAGCCTGGAAGGAAAAGAGGAAACTCTGGTCACGTTGGTACCTAATGGGAACTCTGCTCTGGATGTTGCGAGCAGATAGCAGCAGGAGCCGGCAAGTCTGTGCAGTACAATTGCTTACACAAGTGATCACACCCTCAGAAGTGCCTGCTGCACCATCCAGCTCTACACCCAGCACACTCACCTCTCATGAGGGCAGCAATCTACCCACCAAGATGGAAGGAAACATCACTGCTTCCTCCACTTCATGCTCTGTGTCATCTGAAAGCACACCACCCAAACTTGGAGCCCCTGCACCATCTGCCAGCTGCTGGCCCAAGTATTCCATTGGTGACTGCCAGACCTGGAAGCACCCAAATACTCAGGGAATAGTCAGCTCTGTTCCCTCAGCCAGGCTGAGCGAGGCTGGGCAACAGATGAATCCCTTTGGACACATCCAGATGTGATGGACCTATCCCTGCTACTGTCATCTTATGTCCTCCCCCACCTTAGATTCAAGTTGCCCAAATTCTTCCTTTTCATCTTTCCACATGGCAGCTCTTTGCTTCTTTTAGAACCTTACTCCTTTCTGCCTCCTAAAAATTCATGCCCCCAGGCTGATGTGGGCTGCAGGAGGTCTGGCTTTGCAGGCACCTCTTGAGTTGATAACCACCCAGCATTGTCCTCCAGCAAGGGGAAGGGTGAGGGCTATGAGCCTGGTGCCCCAGCAGCGGGTGGTTGGGGCTGCAGGGAGCTGGGGGTCTTCTCTGCTGCCTCCTTGGGTGCTCTGGGTGAGAGCACTGGCACGAGTTGAGCTTGTGCCCTCCCTGCCCTTCCCAGGCTGGGTTTTGTGTCCAACCGTCCCTGGGTTCAAGCATCCCAAACATGGCCACAGCCAGATTTGGACTTGTTTTCCTTTTCCCAGTGGCGTTTCCAAGGGCTCTTCCAAGCTTGTGGAGGAGGTGACCCTTCTCCTGTGG